ATTTAAAAAATAAAAGAAAATAAAGAAAAGACAGGAACAATAAACATGAGTAAAAGGCACATTTATGAGGTTTGTTTCCATTATTAAGATGAATTTGAGAAACTACATTGGTTTATTGGATCCTGTCTGCTATTTGAAAGCTTATCAGCTGATGAGTTCAGCACTTGTTCAGTAGCAGGGACTTTAGTAAGAGGTCACACAGCTCATGCCAGTGCTCACAGGAGTGGCTGAACGTGAAACTCCTTGCTCTGCCAGTCACCTGTCTAGGGACTTGTCATCTCTGAGCGCAGGTCCAGTATATCTGTTCATTTCTCTCCTGTGCTTTTGTAACTATTTCTGGCACTTCTGTAGCTGTCTTGAATTATTTCACTCGAGGTTTTTTTTTTGGTACGGGGATTGAACTCAGGACCTTGCGCTTGCAAGGCAGGTGACAGCAACACTGAGCTAAATGCCCGGCCCTGAGTTTTGTTATTTTGAAGGTACATTCTTATGTGTAATAAAAATCTATTTATATATCTAACAGCAAATATTATCTGTATGGAGACAACTGTAATGTGAATACTTTTAGTGTCCAAAGAATTTTTGTACGATTTAATACACCTATCAGATTATCATATTCTCCTTGTACCCATATCTTTTTATCATCATCATCATCATCATCTTATTATTGTTCCCCTGGCAGAGTAGAAGCTTTACCTCACAAAGGACTTCTTGATCTCTACTTATTACTAACAGAGAAGTTGCAAGAATAGCCCAATGATCAACATTGTACTCTCCTTAAATATATCAATTATTCAGCACACTTGCCACATCTGCTTCCTCTCTGTGTGTATATAAATGTGTGCAATTGTATGTGCATCTGTGTATAAATGAACCATTTTAGAATTAGTTGCTGACATTGTAGCGAATAGTTTATCAGCCATCTCCTAATCACAAGGAATTTCTCATATATGATCACTATGTAATTACGATATCTGGAACTTTTCATCTTAATTCAAGATCATATATAAATGCCCACATTAAAATTTCTCTAGTTATCCCAATAATAATATCCTTTATAATAGCTTTTATTCCCAATCCAATATTCAACAGAGAAGCCCACATTATAGTTACTTATAATGTGTCTAGTGTTTAATGAATAAAGTTCTTTTTTAAAAAATATCTTCATTGAGCCTCCAGAGTTTCAAGCAGGGTTCTAGGTACAATCTCCTTGATTTATTTCATGGATTATTCCATTTTAGTTTTGCGAAAGTAAAATGTTAAAGTTATTCTTGTGCACTCAGAAAAAGATTGAAATCACTTTGAAATAAACTTCAATGATTCTGTGTTCCTCATTCAGTAAACGTGTTAGTTAGACATGAAGGCCACAGAGAAGAGAGCTTCCATCTGAAAATCCTTTTCATTTATAGATGATTTGGGGTTGTTTTGGGTGTTATCCAGGCTTTTAGAAAAAAAGTGAAGTTCCAACCAGTGCCTTTATTGCTGAAGTCTGCTCAACTGTCAGAACCCGAGACACCACAAATGGCATGCTGAGGGGGAAAACAGGTCAAAATGCAAAGCGTGACTAATAATAAAATGTGTTTCTTCCCCAAGTTACTGTTGTGAATGTTTCTGTCACCACCATACACAGTTTCTTTTGATACCAGGATGAGCCTTCTGAGAAAGCAACCGCAGCTTCCTCCCAAAGCAAGGAAATTAGCAATTGTTGAATGGCTAAGAGGACAGTTGTTGAGAAGTTGCCATAGCGACGTGGTGAAGCTGTCCATGGGGCTTCATTTCAATCACACTGAATTGGGCTTGGCATTGTATCCTAAAACATGCATCAGTATTTTAGAGGTTTTGAAGAAAAGATGTAAATATCAATTGTATGGACTGAGTCCTCTTCTGAGCCATAGGAATGTTTCCAATTTACTTTCCTCATTTCTCCAGCGAACAATATTTTTCCATCATGCAGAACTTAAATGCTGTTTCTGGAAATCTACTTTTGCCACACAGAGAATTTGATAAACTCTCAGATTACACTTTGCCATTAAGCAAATCAATATTGGGTCTCTCGTCCATTAACAAATTAGCAGGAAATCGGAGTATGTATTCTTCAAATGTTCAAGGCAACATTAGCCAAGAGCATTTTTGAAAATGTATCATCCTATTGGCTAAAACAGAAAGGTTTTTTTTAATGTTTCTATTCTTACTATTTTGACAAAAATATTGGAATAACTAATGTTTATTGAGTGTTTGGGCTTATGTTGTATAACTAACATCTTTTATGTACATTCTTTCATTTCATCTCCACCGAAAACCTATGAAGCAGGGGCTTAAATTATTAACTTCATTTACAGATCAGAATCCTGGAGCTCCGAAAGGCTAACTAACACTTGGTAAGGGTCGGGATTGGAACCAGTCCCAGACTATGTGCGTTGGAATCCAATGTAGCTCTGAGCCACTGGTGGTAGGTGAAGCCTGAGTTCTCCACTTTTAATAACTTCCCAAGAGATGCAGGTACCATTGGTACTAGGGCCATACTTTGAGTAGCAAAGGTTAACCTTTTACCCAGTAGCTCCCAAATGTGAGTATTATATGAATTCTTTGTGTGGAGAAAATTGGTAGACCACAAAATATATTTGAATACCTTGATTGCAGAAAGACCAATGATAATCAAGAATCTAATTCTATGAAACTGTCTTTTCATTAGGAAATATACTTGAGTGTTTTGTTTTTATAATTGGTAATTTAAAAAATAATTATAAGTGGAAACATAAAATATTTGTACAACTCATGGACTGCAAAGTAAAATCTATGAATTTTTTCTAGGAAGCCCAAATTAGAAACAGTACACTGTATGTCAAATAGCAATGTATAAATGAGTTGTGTGGAATAATCATGTTTATGAAATAGTTTATCTCCAAGTTTTGCTAGTTGTTGCTACACTGGTAAAAAGAAAAGCTGTTATGGGCCGGGGATTTAGCTCAGTGGTTTCACTGCCTGCTGCACAAATGCGAAGACCTGAGTTCGATCCCCGGTACCAGAAAAAAAAAAAAAAGAAAGAAAGAAGAGCTGGTGTTTAGAAACTCTCACATGGGTCATGATTATTTGTAAGCGATTGTGTTGGATTATTTGTAAAACAAATTTAAGATGTAAAACATCTTAATATTTTATTCTTCCTTTTGTCAATATATGAATAGATACCACTACAGAGGACTAGGAAGCAAGGTTTTCCACTTTGATATTCTATATAGAATGTACTCTTCCCACAAAATTCTGTCCCTTTACAGACTTGTTAGGTTAGAGACAAAGACATTCTCTAAATGAGGGGAGCAGCTTTGTCTCTGATTGGCTGGTTGTTATGCAAACTGACGTAAATAACATTTTAACCTAAGTGATCCCTTCATTCAGTGGAGATGCTCAGTCGGGGGGAAGAAGCTGAGGGGTGAGCAGGAAGATGGCCTGAGTAGCTGTAGGATTCTATGTTGTGTCTCCATTTCTTACACCCATACCCATCTTGAAGCACTATCCTATTTTGGTTAAAAGATTAATTCTGCTTCTGTAATGCCAGCACTTGGGAAGGTGAGACAGGAAGTCCAAGTCTGAGCCCAGCCAGAGCAATTAGTAATTTAGTGAGACTCTGGCTCAGAATAAAAAATTAAAAGGAGGGTACGACAGGCTTGGGATGTAGCTCAGCGGGAAGGCCTTGGGTTCAGTCCCTGGTACAAAAAAAAAAGAAGAAGAGGAAAGGAAAGATTAGTTCCGGAGGCAAAGGGACGTGGATTTGAATCTGCACTCCTACCCTGATGAGCGGTGTATCCTCGGGCAGGTCGCCTAGCTCTTTGGAACAGAGAAAGTAAAGATTCTTCAGCAGACATAGTGCCTCCCTCGTGCCCACCGGGTCCCTTTCCACGGTCAGGGAAGCTCGCTGCTTTCCGAGGGGCAGCGCTGGCTCGGGTTCAGCAGGCCGAGGCGGGCCTGCCGCTTTGCCCTCTGGGTTTGCTCCCCGGTCTGGGCACCGCGCCCCGAGGACCACTGCCTGCACTGCCTTCCCAGCGCCTGCGCACACTGAGCGGTTTCCCAGCTGTGCCTGGGCGAAATGGCAGCCTGGCCTGACTCCCTTTTCCTGCCCCAGTTTCTGACTACTTCCCCACCCGTCATGAGAACACTTCTAAACTGACATACGGGCTCCCGTCACAGAGGTGTCCTGAGAATACGGTAAATTTAGCTTTTATTTTATCAAAACTTACTTCTTCCTTGATCTTTGAAAATTAACATTCTTACAAACCTTCCCACTATCCAAGATAATTTACCGTGTTTCGTATGGCTTTATATTGTAGAAGTTGTAATTTGTACATTTTCAAACAAATATTACACACACACACATTTCGTACTACTTCTTCCCCCTGTAGATGTGATTTTCTCTTCCCAGGGCACTCGCTGCGACTCCAACACCTTGTGCGATTCACTAAGGTAGAGTTCGTGTCCCACACGAAGATGGAAATGCCACCTTTGCTGGTATGCGGGGCATGTGCCAGGATAGGAAACAGAGTCTGGCTATAAAGGGCCGGTAAGGCCAGGAGACAGAGCAGGTAGGTTAGGGTCACCTTTCTCTCCAGCGGTGAAAGTGGGGACATCAGGAGGCACAGTAAGATTCGATCTTCATGGCTTAAAGAGAGCATTGCAGGAAACCTGGGGTCGTCTTTGAACTCTAACATTTATTTGTTTGTTGACATAGTAATTCCTCCTTGTCCATGGAGGACGTGCTCTAAGACTACTATGGGAATGCCTGAAATTACAGATAGTACTGAACCCTGTATGCTATATTCTTTCCTCTACGTACATGCCATCGATAAAGTTCAGCTTAATTTTCACTCGAACACCAGTCCTGTGGTACTGTCACAGTTGATCTGATAGCTGAGATGGCTGCTGAGTGGGTAATAGGGCTGTACAGCATGAGTACACTAGGCAAAAGAATGCTTCTCACTCCACGCAGGAGGGAGTGGGGCAGAGCAAGACATCTTTAGGCCAAGACACCGTATTCACCATTATGAAAATAATGGAGTGTTTACTTCTGGAATTTATCATTTAATATTTTTGGACCTTAGTTGACATTGGGTAACTGAAACTGCAGAAGGCAAAGCCATGCATGGGCAAAGACTATTGTAACTACATATGAAGGCAATAATCTGCAATAATTAAAATTGTGGGCTGTGTCTTACAACTCAATTGCAAAAGACACCAAATAACCTGACTTTTTAAATGGACAAAGGACTGCATTTCTCCAAATAAAATATATAGATGACTAGGAAGTGTATGATAAGATATTCAGGGCCAGGGATTTAGCTCAGTTGTTCTGTCGCTTGCCTTGCAAGCGCAAGGACCTGAGTTCGATCCCTGATACCAAAAAAAAAAAAAAAAACAATAAAACTAACTTAAAAAAAAAAAAAGATATTCAGTGTTTCTAATCATCAGAGAAATGCAAATAAAAATCACAATGAGATATCATCTCATGCATGTTAGGATGGTTATTACCACAAAATCAAAAGGATTTGGGGAAAGTGGAACCCTTGTCCACTGTTGATAGGAATGTAAAATGGTGCAAGACTATGAAAAACACTACAGAGTTTTTTAAAAAAATGAAACATAAACTATCATATGACCCAGCAATCCTACTTCTGGGTTTGCAATCAATATCTCGAAGATACTAGTATCCCCTTTTTCAGTACTAGTGACAACAGCCAAAATGTGGAGACAACCTAATTTTCCATAAATGAATTAATTTTTAAAATGTGGTATATACCTGTACACACACACACACACACACAGAGTAGAATACTATTCAGACATAAAAAGAAGAAAGTCTTCCTATTTAAGACAACATGGATGAAGCGTAGAAGGACATTATGTTCCCTGAAATAAACTACCCATAGAAGGAGAAATATTGTATGTTTTCATCCCTATGTGGTGTCTTGAAAGTGAAGAACAGAATTGTGGTTGTCAGGGTTGGGGAGAGGTGGAAGTAGGAAGTTGCTGATCTTTGGGTATGGACTTTTAGTTATGCAAGATGAATAAGTTCTAGAGATCTGTTGTACAACACTGTGCCTATAGTTAACAATGCTGTACTGTGCACTTAAGTATCTGTTAGGAGAATAGATTTCCTGTTCTGTGTTCTTACCACAATGAAACTTAAAAGAGAGAAGAAGGAGGAGATGGAGGAGGAGAGGGAGAAGGACAAGAGGAAGAGAAAGAGGAGGAGGAGGAGGAGGAGGAGGAGGAGGAGGAGGAGGAGGAGGAGAAGGAGAAAGAATGGACCCTGGAATTAGGATGCCTGAATTACAGTCCTGCCTTTACCATCTACACGGGCAAGTTGTAAACACTTAAGTCTCTGTTTTCTCATCTATAAAATGGAGGTGAACGCCAAGCTTCTCCATAAAATTAATGTAAGAGGCTATATTTTTATTTCTTCTGGGTTTTTTCACCTCGCTGATTCATGTAAAGAGCTTAGTCTCTTCTTTGGCAGAGAGTGAGAACTGTGTAATAACATCAGTGTTTTTACCACTCGTTTTAAATTTTGTTTCCATTAGGCTAAGTTTGGTGGCATCACTGGGAACTAGGATGGAAGCAAAGATGAACCACAAACCCTAGCAGTGCAGTGAATTTATAAATCCAAGGTAGCTGACATCTAATCTCAACAGTCAGCCAAAGGGTTGGAGCTGACAAGGTTGCTGGGTGTGGCCATGTGCGGATGATTGTGTTCCCAGTTTCTGACCTGGAGCCCTCGGGTTGCCCGGGTTGTCCCACAGCAGGGCTGACACTGGCATCCACACACACCAGCCAGAATTCTGCATGGGTGCACTACTTGCAAAATAATACTTATTATTTCACCTGGCTTTGCTGGGTAATAAATGAATCAACAGTTGAGAACATTATACATACTGTTTATCCTTTAAAAACCAAACTAGCATAGTAGTTACTAACCCCCATCTATAACCTCATAGGTGGAAGAATGTTTGCTTCTCTTAATTTTCTTAAATCTTTCCTTATGTGTTCTCGTACCACAAGGATGGGTCTAGTTTCAACCCTGGCCATTATCAGGATATCTCCCCGTATTCCTGGACAAGGTGCTGTGTAAAAGCCCGCTGGGACTCATGTAGTTCCAAATTGTCAGATGCATGATGTTTGGGGACTGAGGTGCTCGAATCAGGGCTGAGGTGAATCCTGGCTGCCTAGCATCCAGCTTTGTAGGAACATCCCAGAATCATTAACCCTTAGAGGTCTTGGTGCCCCCGAGTGCTGCCATGGTGGCCACAGTTCCTGGTTATGTAGAAGATATTCAGTCTTTGTCTTCCTCCCATTTTCCTTGAAAAATGTCTCCCTCATCCATTCTGCAGCCTTTGCATGTACTCTTCTGACTCTCAGCTCCAGAAAACCCACAATCATTGTTTTCCTGTAAGACAGGAATTGCCGCTGACTTCCTCTGAGATGAGGAAGTGCAAAGGACAGCTCTCATTATGAAACAGGGACCATAAAATCTAAGAAGAACCTACAGAAGCAAATACCATCTCCAAATCACCTTTCTTCGGCTGATTAGTGGCTTCATTCATTTGCTTGTTTATTGGGCACCAACTCTATACCAGACAATGCATTAGGCACCAGGGGTATAAGAGTGAACCAGGGGCACATTTGGTGGGTCCTCTATAAACGCACAGGCAGGAGACAGAGCCAGCAGCTACTGCCAACTCGGCCATGTCATTACTTAACTACGATGAAACTCATGGTTGGTTTTATTTCCTCGGATGTCACTTGTGCAGGCAAATCTTGTGAAGATGAACCATTTGGAAAGTAACAGCAGGTTCCCAGCTGAGGTATGCTACTTTTGAAAGGTGTCATTGACTGATTTTTACTGCTGCTTGGCAAGTCTCACTTTTCTTTGAGTTTTCTAGGAGGTGCTAAAAGACTAAGGCCAATTATGAACCAATATTTTTTCCCTCACCTTCCACAGGTCCCAGAAACTTTACTCTTGAAGTTTAATTACATTTAAAATTTTTACCCTTTTGTTGGAGCTTGAACTGCTTGAGTGTACAGACGGCATTGTATTTTTGGTTCATTCACACACGAATACTTAAGATATGGAGCTGTTTATCTGCAAGGCTGACTGGATGGTGACGATTTTTTATTCCCTTTAATGTACAGTACCCCATATTGTATGTGTTACATTTAGCTCCTTGGTCTGTTTTGGCTGTTTATACCTAAATTGCCTTTCTGTGCCTGAATGATGATTTCATTTTTTTTCAGTAAGCATTCATGGAAATATATGAGGAAGTAAGTTAACATTACTAGCATGCACTAGATGGCTTGGCGAGGTTTCTTAAGTAGGAACACAGAAGAGAAATAGGAAATAGACCAGCATGCATCCTCAGCTTGTCATTGCCTATTTATTTGTAATCCAAATAACACATAGCTTATTTGTAGCATGCAATTTATATGTGCTTGAGAATTAATGGGGAAACACACACACACACACACACACACACACACACCTGGCCCAAAAATGCAGCAGTACAGTGTGAAAAAATGTGGGCTTTGGAATAATATGAATCATTATTGACAATCTGCGGAATAATCGCAGGCTGGTCTTCAGCTCCCCGATCTTGTTTCCTCTTCTGTGAAATGATGACATGTGGTAGTACATCAGAAGTTGTGAGGATTAAATAATGTGCGCAAAGTGACTTCTACCCAGTCACAATTACCTAGTACTGTTTACTGATCTTTCTACTCCCTTCCCCCACCCTGAGAGTTTACCAGGTTCTCAGAGCAAAGCGGTGGAGCATTAGCACAATTAACTTGGACCCTAATGCTTTGGACATATAAGGAGATACTGAAACCATTTGACCATTAAAAGAAAAAAGACTTTGGCTAATAAGCCTAAAATCAAGCTTTCCACTCTTCCCTTCATTTGCCTTGATGTATTGGGGTAAATCAGGTGAACTTGCTCTATAGCTCTATTCTCTGTATTTTCCTCCAAGTTGAAGATTTTGCACCTTCCTTCTTCAAGAATGTCCTGCCACACTTGTGATGGTTAATTTTATGTGTCAACTTGTTTAGGCCACAGTACCCAGATCCTTGGTCAAACACTAGTCTAGATGTTGGCATGAAGGTATTTTTTAAAGCTGAGATTGACCCAACCTAGTAAAAATTTTAAGAGAAAAAAATACTGATTTCCCCTCAAAAATTCTGCCCTCAGATGCTGTTGGATTCTGTGACATGTTCTCTTACTCTCTGAGCTGTGTGTGATGCCCGGTCATCCAACATCACAGATTCACAAGGGAAGACGGAGGCCATTGAACTCTCCTTATAAAGGCAACCCGACAACATTTCAACGGTTAGAGAAAAGAGATTGCTGGCTAATTAGATTGATGAGAATGTGTCATTCCGGGAGCAATCTGGTTAATCCAGCTCTTCATATATTTTGAAAAACATTCGTAAAGGACTTTGAGAAGAACAAGAGCTAGCTAAGCAACAAACACAGGTTTTCCACTATGGGTTTCCCACTAAGACCATGTTTATACACTCTTCTAGAAATCTGACCAGCTGGGGGTGGTGGCACACGCCTGTTATCCTAGCACTTGAAGGGCTGGGGCCAGAGGATTGCAAGTTTGAAGCCAGCCTGGACTACATAGACATTAAAAAAAGTCTGGCCAATCTCTTCTGTTTCAAATTTTACTGTAAAGACATTCATCACTTGTTTTTAAGACTAATTTTCCAACTGAGTTTCTGTACAACTAATTTAAACTACACTGGAATGGCTTGCACTTCATGGTGTATGCTGTTGAATATTTCACTGAGAGGCAACATTTGTGCTTGAATAAGCTTGTTGAATTTTTATGATTCTTACCAAGCCAACATCCACTCTACTCAGGCTTCACACAGTATGGTTATCACTTTGACTAGCATTCTGCTCCTTTAAAAAATCATGTATTTTTGATACCACAGTTAGATTTGAATAGGATTCGCTTTTGCATTAAGTTAATGTGGCTTAATAGGACATGATATTTGCTGGAGAGGAAAAAAAGAGAAAGCTTGCTCATCTGTTAATTTCTGGTGGAGCCTGGAGTTCCAATTTTTTTAAAAGTTGAAATTTACTTGGAGACAAAACACCCCCTTCCTGCGGCACTGGTTTCCAGGAAGGCTGGCAGAGCATCGCTGCATCTAGTGGGCCATGCTGCTGCTGCTCCTCCTACTTACCACTGACTTCCATCAGTGTTTTGTGCTCAGGCTCCTCGCGTCATGAAGCCCTGTTGCCTTCAGGTTGCGGGAAACCACGGAGCGCAAACACGCGCGGCCCTGTCTCCGCTTCACTTACTTGGATTTCTCTCTCTTAACAAGAAAGTTAAAGGTGGTTTCTGGCTGAAGGCAGAAATGAGTTTGGGGCCAAATGTGTTTGCTAACACCTCATTATCTGCTTTGCAAATGCACTGCAGTCGTAATTTTCCTAGGTAATGAGTAGTCAGTTGTTGAGCGAAGGGTTGTGTGACTCTGAGGATGGAAGAGGCACAGTTCCTGGCAAGTGGCAACTTTCTGTTCATTCCACAACACACAGAACTTTCCCCTCCTTATTTTTCCCGTCCCCCTTTCTTCTGTTAAATTCTTAAAGTTCAAGCTCTGCTTTCAGATTGAGATGAAATAATGTGGGTCATAAGAATTCCATCTTCCTCAAATCAAACATAGTTTGAAATAATGTTCCAAACAATAGAAAGAAAAACTTTTCCTCTCTTCTCTTATTTTTGTTAGGGGCAGGGCTGTGAATTAAATTGACAAAAGATTAGTTGAGAAAATCTGTGCCTACAGGAGCTTACAAAAGAAGTAGCTGGTTCAGTGACACGCAGTTAAAGTTAGAGAACTAGACACCTAACTGGGGATGGGAAAAGGAAAGGAGAGGAAGGAGGCTTGGGTCGACCCAGTGGGGTTCTTCCGGAAAGACACACGCTTCCCAGAACGGATGGGCCATGAAGTTCGCGCCGGGGAGAGTTCACCTGTGTGCAGGTGGTCTTTCTGCCCTCTTGGTTGCCATAAAACTTGCCTGGAAAGGGAATTTATGATAGATTTACTCTTGGTCTCCTTCCTGGGAATAAAAGCTGCCCCGAAGAGGGAATTTAGGGTCAGCTCATTTCCCAGAAGTTTCTGCTTTCAGTCAGATAAAGGAAGCTCTGAGAAAGCTTGCTTTATATTTGTGAAATCCCAAATGTTTTCCGCTTAAAATCAGCTTTGTACCAACTCTGGGATTCTAAGTGGGTCTCCACACTGTAAGTTTTACAGCTCATTATTTTTTAAAATATTGTATGAAAACACCATATATCTTGACCTTGAATTGTTGGCATCCCCTTAAATTTTGCTCAGAAAGTTAATACTTTGTTGGCCTTGCCAACTACAAGAGTAGTCCTGCTCTTCCCCTGCTTGTCAACGGCCTTTGAGAAAAAAAGCTGTGTGTGTTGAACGTGGCGGGATTTGTTAGCCAGCTCTGTTCTTGTTTGGTTGAGGCTCCCCGAGGAGGCGAAAGCTCTTGGCATTTCAGAATGGCTTGACCCAGACTGGGAAGGGCATTCCTGAGCAGAGGAGAGGACCTCCTAGTACAGGAGGTGGACACTGTCTGCACACACACGAACTTCGACAGGCTGGGCTGGGGATGCACCATCCGACAGGACCTCTCGGTCACACCAGGCTGGCGGTGTTCCTCAGAGGCAGGACTAGGGCCTGGCAAGACAGCCCACAACCAACCCAGTCCTCCAGAGAAACAGTATATGCATACAGTCCTTTAAGATTTCAAAACTAATGCCCCAAACTCGTACTAAATAAAATGTCAGCATTTTAAATAAACCCAGCCCTGTACCTGTGTGACTCTGCCTCACTCACCTGACCCTAATGCTGGCCCCTGTTCCACTACAACTTAATTCTTAAAAAGGTGCATGAAAGTATTATTTATCTTGACTACTGAGTTTTTGGCACTCTATTAAATTTTTCTTCCTTTGTTTCACCCTGGTCCTTGCCCTGGTCCTACTGTTGTCTCCATCTACACATGAGGAAGGTGAGACATGTGACGCAGATGGCTGGAGGGCAGCACCTGGGTGGCCAGGGTGACTCTGCACAGTCAGCCACCAGCACAGACCTGCCTACCAGGCACTGGCCTTTTAGTAGCTTTCCTAGGAAAGTATTTGTATGAGTCAGGACTCTAGAAAACAAAGTAGAGGAAGAATGGAGGGGGAAAGAGTGAGAGAGCATGCAGATTTGTTTTTCATTTCTCTATCGGGGCTCTCAGCTGATGTGATGGTGCTGACCCACACAGGTGAGGAAAGATCGTCCTTCCTAAGTCCATTAGTTCAAGTGCCGATCTCCTCTAGAAAGACCCTCAGGGACAAACGCTTTCCAAGCTATCTAGGTGCCCCTTAGTATAGTCCAAGGACAGCACAAGTTAAACATTATAGTGTAGAAGTGATGGACAGTTCCCCATCTCTACCCACCTTCCTAAGCTTTCACCTACCTTGGGTAAATTTGAGAGTATTAGGTATGTAGCTTTGCTGGGAAAACTATGGCAAAATTGAAATACTAAAGAAGTTCTAACCTCTGACTGCTTATAACACTATGCATAGATATAGCAAGCTGAAAACTTGCCAATTATACAGAGGTCTATTGAGATGTTGCAGCTGGATGTGTTTTTTTCACAAGTGTAGAGTAAAACCTGAGAAAGTGACTGTAAAAAGAAAAGTTGGACATTTTATAATTTTTCAATATCTAATAATTGCATATGAATGTACCTGATTTTCCATTAGCTAAATGGAGTTGCCAGAAAGAACTAATGAATATTGCATGGTTGAGTTCTGTCACTTTTTAAAGGAAGGGACTGGACATGAAATCATTGCTTTTAATACAGAGACAAAGACAAGTGACTTTAGAATGTAATGAAAGACAGATTGGAAAGCTTACTATCAGAGCCTCCCCTCCACTCCACCTGGGTCAGCAAAAGGCCCTCCATGGGTTGTGTTGATTGAGTGACAGCCTGACAGCCTGTTGGTCACAAGTCCTTAGGCTGCATAGCAGGTAGATTTACAGGTTGGTACAGAGCATCTTAAAACATACTCAGCTCTTTTTTTTTGGATCCTCACAAATAGCAAAAGTATGGGCCAGGGTTTTCCTGCTGAGAATGTCAGTGATGTTGCTGTGAAATTCCAACAGATGAGGAAATTACTTTTCTGGAGTATCTGGCTTAGTTGTTTTCATTGCAACGTATTATTCGTGGTCTCCAATTCTCATCTTTATTATTGACTATGTCATGCTTTGTTTTCCTGTTGATGGGTGTAAAAACATTTTCCGCTGAATATTTATACAGTGCCATTTCTATGTCTGTATTTGAATAGGTGTTTATTTTCCTCAGTAAAGTGATTCCACTGGCTCACAAGACAGCTGCTGGAGACCCTAAGGCAGACAGATGACCTTTGGGTGGGCACAGGTTGTGTTTAAGACTCAGCCTCTTAGTAATGGGACAGATTATAGTCATTATGTAGTAAGTTTTCAAAATTAATTTGAAATGTTGGCCATTAAAGGGACAGAATAAATGAATCCTAATGTAATTTAGGAGTATAAAATTAGGATGGAGAGGCCTGATTGACAGCAGTCTAATGTTATTAGCAATTATCTGGTTAAAAAGGGAGGGGGCATGTTTCTTCAAAGTCACAATCTTCATTTTTGTACTTAGTAAATTATTAAACATTCTATTAGAAAAATAATGAGGAGTTTCAGATTAAATGGCAAAGGCCTAGATGGAAAAATGCTTTTTCATAAATCTGACCTTGGGAATGTGACTGGTATGGATTATAAATAGATTGTTGGGATCCTCATCTTAGATTTTTTTTTTTTACTGCAATGTAAGGTAGACCTGCCTCTCAACTCAATAGAAGAACAGCAAGATTATTTCATGCTCTAGAATTAGAGATATTATAAATGTATGAGAAGTGTCTGAGTCAATTTAATTAAATTCAGTGCTGATTTACCTTGAGAGTAAAGAGCTGGTCACTGTCAATGGGGAGGTTAGTGTCTGGCTGGTGAAATAAACAGGTGTGTGGGAGATGCGCAGTTCTCTGTGGCTGCAATCTACATGGGTAAAATGAAGTGATGAATTGTATAATAGAGATAATGTGAGAATAATAGTATTTTTTAAAAGGTGAAAGTTGTGATGATAATTAATTAATGGCATTTAAATGGAAAATGTAATTGTAGCCAATTAAGAAATATGACTGAGTGTCTGTAACGAGCAGGGCACGTGCTAGCTGCTACTGGAGGGGTAGGTGGTGTAGATGAAGGCCCTGTGTTAGTCTACAGTCCACTTGGTTCTGGTGAGCCCTCCTCCATCCTCATCAACTGTCTCTCCTCTCTGGTCGTTAAAGATTGGAGTTCCTGAAGACTGTCCCGAGCCAACTTGTTTGCCTCATATTTGCTTTCTCTCGGAAGCTCACCCATTCTTACGGCTTCAATATGGAGTGGTTCACAAAATTTACATTTTCATCCCTGATCGCTCCTCTAGCTTCAGACATAGACACCCAACTGCCTCATTGACATTGCTTCTTCAATGTCTCAAAGGCCAAAAAAGGCATACAATTATAATTTTATTTTCCTCTGCACTTAGTTGCCTAGTTTGAGAAA